ATAACAAAAAGGCAACATTAAAAATAATGGCTTTCTGTCTGGATGGTCTCTTGAGATGAGCCGATAGACAGAGAAAGGAAGCAGTTTGCTCTTTCCCATATTTGGGCATATCAGGGGTTGTGACGCAATAAATAAATAAATAAATAAATAATTTCTTTAAGCATGTATTAGACAACATATATATGTATAAACATTATGAATACAGGAAATGGATACGAATGAAAGGGAACATTAGGACAGGGACGGTAGGCACACTGGTGCGCTTATGCACGCCCCCTTTACGGACCTCTTAGGAATGGGGTGAGGTTGCCAGTAGACAGTTTAAAGTTAAAGTTTTTGGGGTTTGGGGAAGAAACCACAGAGTCAGGCAGTGCATTCCAGGCATTGTCCACTCTGTTGCTGAAGTCGTAATTTCTGCAATCAAGTTTGGTACGGTTTACCTTAAGTTTGTATCTATTGCGTGTTTGTGTATGGTTGTGATTGAAGCTGAAGTAGTCATTGACCGGTAGAACATTGTAACTGATAAGTTTATGTACTACGTTTAGATCAGACCGAAGGTGGCGTAGTTCTAAGTTGTCTAAGCCCAAAATTTCAAGCCTGGTGACGTAAGGTATTCTGTTGTTGAAAATAAATTCAGAAATACATAAAATACTCTTAGTCCTTGACTTACGACCACAATTGAACCCAAAAAGTTCTGTTGCTAAGCAAGACATTTGTTCAGTGAGGTTTGTCCCATTTTACGACTTTTCTTGTCACTGTTGTAAAAAGGAATCACTGCAGTTCTTAAGTTAGTAACATGGTTGTTAAGTGAATTTGGCTTCCTCGTTGACTTTGTTTATCAGTAGGTCACAAAAGGGGATCACATGACCCTGGGACACTGCAACCGTCATAAATACGAGTGCATTGCCAAGCATCTGAATTTTGATCAGGTGACCATGGGATGCAGCAATGGTCATAAGTGTGAAAATGATCAGGAGTCACTTTTTTCAGTACCGTTGTACCTTCAAACAGTCACTAAATGAACTGCTGTAATCAAGGATTATCTGTAGAAGTGTTTAATGTTTAAAGAACAAAATAATAAACAATTACGATGAGCCAAAGTCTTAATTGAACATCGAGGTGCTGCCAGCTTTAGCAAAGTTCTAGAGTTTAGCCATGTTTTTACTTCGATTGTATTTTGAACATCTGTAATATGGGTAGTCCTCAACTTATTACCATTCATTTAAAAATGGTTCAAAGTTAAGACGGCCTCAGAAAAAAATGACTTACGATTGTACTCGCACTGATGACCATTACGCCACTCCCAAGGTCCCGTGTTCACAATTTGGATGCTTGGCAATAGCTCCACATTTATGAGTTGAAGATCCTGGTCTCGTGATTTTTTGCTGATTTCTTGCCCAAAAAACGCCCACTGGGAAAGCTGGATTTGTTTAATGACCGCATGATTTACTTAATGACTGTGTGATTCATTTACCATCCCTCATAAAAGTGATTGTGCAATTGGCTCCAACTTAACTAACGGCTTACGATAGAAATTTGGCTCCCAGTTGTGATCATAAGTCAAAAACTACCGTTGTTACAATGCTTGTTGTCTTCCAATTTGAGGAGATTCCATTTGCTAAACCTACCATTAATCTTTAATAACTACTAGACCCTAAAATTTCTGCTTTAGTCATGGTATTCTTTCCCCTTTGTTGGAACTCATGGCTAATATCCATGTTAAGTTTCACATAGTTCAACATAGGAGTGATCTGGAACCATTCTAGGTTGACGGTAGCTGAGAAGTTGAGGAGTCTCCGTACATCTGGAAGATGCTAAGTTGAAAGA